TCTGACCCATCTGATAGTTCTAGTGTTAAACACTTTTATCCGACGTCACGTTCTAATTCCGTTACGTTATAATTATTTTCCAGCAATTCGGAAGTGTCTTGCTTCGATGACCAACATGGCATTTAACCCTAATCGTGCCACGTGTTTTTAGAACGAATCATATCACGATGCGACTCTCAGTCACTTACGAGAATAAAAGGAACGATTGAAATGTTCTTGTTCTTGTTTATAGGTCGAAAATTTTAAACCAAAAGAAACTGCTGAAAATGCAATATGAAATAATGAAAAAATTTCAGCAAAAAGTTCAAATGTGACTCAAAGTCGCATCGTGGTCCGATTAGGGTTAACGTGTTAACCCCTTGTCCTACAACAACGAGTGAGTCTCGTGATGAATGAGATTATCAACATAATTCAACAAATATATATATATAGTTCATTCGAGTTCAAAGTAATTATTATTCCTCTGTAATCAACTGTTACACTTGAAAAGAAATATAGGCATAACATATGCTTAGAATTTTTCTCTTTTTCCAATAAATTATCAACACGTTGAATGCCGCACGATTTCGTAGAGCAAAATACACAAAGTGAAAAAATATAATATTAAATCATTTGATTGAATTGCACCGTGATCATTACACGTTCATCTGGTTGAATGTCATCGAATTAGGTAGTATTATTTATAATATAGAAATGTTTTCAAATAATCATCGTTTAATTGAATGAACTACAGTAATTCGATTTTGTTAGGGGTCACCAGTGATTTCCTTGGCATTCAACGTGTTAACACTATTTCTACCAAAGGTGTCACAAAACACTTTCTGAAATTTTAACTTACAATTCTTTTCTCAGTTTAACAATTTTCCCCCGATTGAATTTTGGACATTTCATGTAGTTAATGTTATAATCGTTATCGGTAAAGTTGAAGGTCAGTTCAGAATATATGACTAAAGTTGAAAAATAGTTTTTAGTCGAAAATTCGACAAGTGTCCGTCGACACCTCGGTAGAAGTAGTGTTAATGACGAAGTAGCTGTATCGGTCAGAGTTGAGAAAGAAATCCTAGGCCAAGGGGTTAAAAGTATGTTTACCTAAAGTGCGGCTCGCTGTAACGTTACGCGTGATCAAAGTGGCCGGTGGGACCATTTGCCTGGCTGGCCTGATCTAAACCTACCCTCGAATTCTTGCGGCGAGTTCGCGAAGATGCGCGAAGAGAAGGTTCGACGGAATCACGCGTCATAAATGGATCGCGTACGGTGCAGCGTGCAGCAGGTAAAGGCGTCGCGAGCGTCCATGATCAAAGGCCAGCCCGAATGGGAAATTATAATTAATTAAGGTAATTGGAAATTAGCGACCGATCTTGCCGGTACTAATGGCGCGCCCTACTCTCCTCTCAATTGAGTTAGCAGCCGCTTTTGAGGAGTCCCTGTATCGCTGATAGCCGGCTGTAATCGTATTCCTACGGGGGACTCGATAGCACGAGCTAATAGCATTCGACGTCGACGAGCGTAGTCTTCCAAGTCGTTGCGTGCTGCGAGCGTCGATCCGTTATTAGAAGGTTTGTACAACGGAGACTGTAATAGTTATGGGACGAACAAATGACCCGGTAAAATCCAAATTAATTAATCACTGTTTACACGCTCGGCTGATACACCACGCGAATCGAAGCATTTCGATGTTTAACCCTTTGCTGGGATCAAACTTTCATGTTTGTATTACTCAGTTGCAAACAAATGATTCAACTACTCAAACAGTAAGACCCCGATATACAATTTCCATGTTCTGTATTATTTAGGCATTCGATGTGTGACTTGGCAGAATCTAATAAAGATTTTTAGAGAAGTTAATTTAGAGAATCTTCGTGCGCAAAGGGTTAATGGTAGAACTACCGAGCATTTAATACGGTTAATATGTAATCTTTATAAAAATTGTAACAACGGATTACTTTCAGTTTCTTCACTCATTATAGCATCCAAATGAGACTATTTATTTTCAAGAGCGTTTCGAATATTCAATACTCTCAAGATATCAATCATTACGAAACAAACAAATCGAAACCAGTCATTTTGACTGATACGGAGTTGTAGTGTTAAAGACCCTATAAGTACCATCCGTTGCAACGAACCTGGCACTCTCGTCTGAATGGTCAGATTCGAAAGCGCACGCCTTCCTCACATGAATTTCCGGTTCTGGTATACGATTGGCTGAGGCGCTCACGCACATCAATCAGGCCGTGCGACAAAGAGTAGGGAGAGTCGCTTCCGGACTCGCAATTGGATTTCTCGGAGCGACTGTCTCCGCCCCTGTGACGTCACGAGTGCCAGATTCCCAGCAACTGATGGTATATTATACTTGGCCAAAGTGGCACTGCTGTGACGTACAGTATCTAAAAGGTTAAGAAACGAAAACCTCAAGCTGCAGGATAATAGCAGAAGGGTATAAGTAATTTCAATTCAATTAAATTAAGTTTGGTGAGTTAAGAAATAGCCCGCCATGCATTAACTGTTAACACGTTGACTGTCACGGTGGTCACCGATGACCGGAGCTTCCAAATTGCTTGAAAACAATTATAATAAGAAAATTGATATTGCATTGAAATATTTACTAACATCAGAGGTTAGATAATAGTGTAATATGAGTACTGTAATACCAAAACATTAATAATTACTTCTAATACTAATTTCCTCTACCATAAAGGAATAAATCTTACTATAACAAAACGCTCGAAATTCTCGTGGCAGTCAACGTGTTAAAAAACGAGTAGTAAACAATTTTACAACCACCTAACCTCAAAGTGTTATAGTGTACAGAATCTTCTGAAGACTCTGCTAAATTCTATATTGAATGCTTCAAATATTCTGCGAAATTCTATATCAATACATAAACTGTAGAAAATGTTCCCCATAAAGATAATACTTAACTAAATCAACATGTATCACATTCATGAAGATTAAATCCTGTTTTTGTTAGAAAGCTAAACGCGATATGGAGAATATGAAGAAGCGAGACAATATTGTCTTCTTCTCTTTACGAAGACAATATATCATGCATGAAATAAAATAATATTTGCAAGTATGTATGTACTATACATGCACATTCGTTTATCCATCTCATAATATTCCACGAAGTGGTGTGCAAATAGGAAGATCAAGATTAAGGAACTCAGAGGAACGACGTAATCTAATGGAACAGCTAGATCGAAAACGTAATGATAATTCGTCGAAAATGAAATCTATTTGAAGGGCGCAATCTTCCGAGACGGTGCGCGACTGTTGAAATGACACTTTCACTTTAATTCGGGCCAATTTCAAGTGCTGCGGACACTTTCGCAGATAAGAAGGCCGAAGTGAAATCTAAATCTCGGGGTCATTTTCCACGAGGTAAATGCCAATTAGCCGACCGGTTAACGCGGTATTACTTGGCTGCAGGAGTGCATTACTCGACGCATCCCCCGTTCCAGCAGCGAAATAACGCTTGACAACGTTACGAGGCATCGCCGGGACTAAGTCGGGAATATTGAAATAAAAATGACCGGCGGCTCGGGAAGTAACAGTGACATATTTACGATGTTATTCGTTATTTTGGAATTATAGAAACTGTATAATGTTCAGTTGATCCATAGAATGACACCATAGAAGATGTGCATTCTGAATGTGCACAACTGGATAATGTATAAAGTGAAATTATAGAGATTTTACGGAATAAGGTGGTTACTATCTGATAGATACGACCCTAGAGTCAAGGTCTTATCTGGACAAAGCCTCTAGCTAACCACCTAATGAGGGAGGTAGATAATTTTTCACCTAAAACAAGTCTAGACTATGATATTCAGGTGCCATGGAAGTTAAAGTGGGGGTAGCTCAGCGTGAAGGGTCGTCAGAGTCATTATGAGAATCAGCTTATAAGTAGGGTAATTCCTGTAGAGGTAGCCATGCTTTCTTTGGAACGAATTTAAATGAGAACTGGAAGAATTAGAACAGATTTGATTTCTCAATAAACATTAGTTACTTGCTTAGAACATAATCACCAAGAATTGATGTTACAGTGGTCAATTATTGATTATTTATGCGAGAGTTTTAAACTAGCCATCCCCCTGATAGAGAATAAAAGTCCAAAACGACTACTTATAGTTTTTATAACTTTCGAAAAGATATTAAACATTCAATTCAATGTTTTAGAGCACTCCATATCTAAATCTCACTAGTCCACTTCGAGAAAGTGTTTTTTTACGTAAAAAGACAGATACACGATTACGTAGGAACACATATAAAATTTGAGAAAACAAAGAAGTGCTCGGGAATAAGTAACAATCTTCGGTTACACAGGTACTTTACTGATCAGAGAATACTTCTACCGTCAAAGTTTCGAAGGATACTGGAAATATTTAACGAACAATACAAAACCAAGTTAAATTCGAATCACTAAAATATTAATCAATTTAATATTATATATTAGATACCGGAGGAAAATTCCTGCGAGTTCCTAAATCAACATTTAAATACCGAGAACGGTTTAGTAAAATAGTTTTACTTCATTTGATACTCACGACATTAACTTGTCGTTAACACCGGTTTCATTCATTTAACCAACGAAACACTACTATGGACATAATGTTAAAATTAATGCATTGTTAACCCTTTGAACTCATTCGCTGTTTGATTCAATGCCAAAATTATGAACATTGAAATTCAATATTCAATTTTGTATTAGATATCGACGTATGAGCCGTAGAAATAAATTAGTTTCAACCCTTAATTTATATAAGATTTTCCTTTATGCTACTTGCTAACAGTATTAGCAATACTTCAACAGAAAATAATAAATATTTATAATGAAAAATATCGTCGAGTGCAAAGGGTTAACAAGAAAACCGCACAAACCTTCCTCGCTATCCAATAGATTATATCCGAACAATTTGGCTGTATACCTGTCTACGGTGTACAACAAGGCACAATGGTGGCGAATAAAGTCGATTTCGCCTGGAATCACAAAATTCACTTACCGCCGCCGTTTTTGTAACACAGGTAGGGGAATCTCCAGACATTGGCCAGATCAACGGCAAATCCGATGACAGATAAAAGAAAGTCGACTTTACCAGACCAGGTCTCCCGGCCATCGACGGCGCCGTCGAGTTTCGGAGGATTCTTCACCACCCTCGACGACATCGTGCGTCTTCCTACAAGAAATCGATCCATTAATCTTCGTCTATCGAAGAAATTTCCATTAACAATTGTATTTTTCTTTTCTTCTTTTTTCGATGACACTGTTAACCCGTTGGCCTATGATTTCTTTCTCAACTCTGATCGATACGGCTACTTCGTCATTAATAATTTATTAGAAAAAGAGAAAAATTCTAAGCATATGTTATGCCTATATTTCCTTTTAAGTATAATAATTGATTACAGAGGAATAATGTTTACTTTGAACTCGAATGAACTGAGTAATATATATATTTGTTGAATCATGTTGGAAATCTTCACCACGAGTCTCACTCGTTGTTGTAGGACAAGGGGTTAAATGTGTACACGTCGTCAGTACCGGACATAACGTGGTCTGTAAATAGTCAGCATAATGCGCTGGTTTTTCTCGGGAAGCGTCAGACTACCCAAATTTCCATTAAACGCTTTACCCCATGATTTACTTCTCAACACGTTGACACGTTGACGTCAACACGTCTGACACGTTGTTATAAGGCGAAAGGTTAACATCGAACGCGAACTTTTCGTTTGAACATCGGTGCGTGACACTGGCAGTGTCAATGTTAAATAATAAATGTTGTGGTTTTAATGAAGTTTAATTAAAACATTGTAAGCAAAGAACCATAGTTGAAACGAATATTGTATTCGGACTGTGCGATTGCTTTCTGCCACCTAAACGAAAAGTAAAAGAAAATCGGCTCTGCCGATATTTTCCGAATGGATTATGTTATTATGTTAATTTGTAGAGAGCAGTGTAAGCGATCCTTCTTACCAATAATATTGAAGATAACACAATAATATAGTCTATTTGAAAAATATCTTGACAAAGAAGTATCTTGAAACAATAGATAGTTTGTAGAGAGCAGTGTAAACGATTCTCCTTACCAATAATATTGAAAATATCTATTTTTTCAAGTGCATTCGTAAAGGAAATATCGCAATAATACAGAGTTATCCAGGAAAAAATGCAACAGAAACAGAGTGCAAAGGGTTAAAAGCAGCGATAAAGAAAGAACACGATTACACGGTAATTCCATGAAACAAGAGACTTCAGGCGGAAAGCGTTAAATTTGTCTGCGTGCACGAGATAGGTCTGCAACAGGTGGGAGAAACTATCAACGCTGATTCTCTGTCGTGATGCAAGGTAAAAACCGACAGCGACGAAATCACGGTTTCGCCTTCGATTTTCCAGTTATTAACAACTGAAATCCATCGATAACGCGTGAATCCGGTCGCTCTGTTCGCACTGACCTACCTCGCGTGCGACATCATTGCCGCGTCCACGTATTAGGTCATCCTATCGCTAATGTTTTTTATGCTAACTTTTACTGTAAAACATTAACGCTAACCGTACCGACACTTTTCCTATCGTAGTCGAGCAACTGGCTATAAGATAGAGATAAAGAAATTAGATGATAAATGTTTCTTAGTGGGAACAGAAACAAAAGGAACGATGAACATTGAGAAACAGTAGTTTCAACAAGTTCGCAACATTTTGTATCTTGCAAAGAGAAAATTAGATTATTTTCACGTGTGTTTGTATTTAAAACCGTAACGCATGATGTAAAGTATAGGAAGGTGACACAATTTTTTTCTTCAATTTCGTTTGCATTTTACGAAGATGATTTCTTATGTTTAGTAAAATATTATAACCATGAAGATTGCTACTGAAACAAACACTGGCCGCGGTTTTCTCCGATAAGTATGTTATAATTATTTCATGAACGTCTGTAAGAGGAACGCCAGTAGTAGACTATACGATTCACGCGCCGTCGATTCGTGAAAGTAACTCGCATGAAATTCGTAGTCGTCAGCGTTAAATTCTGAAATTCTCGAATATCTAATAAATATTAATGTGGTTTCCTTGGAATGATTTAACAACCTGGCCGTTGAACCGATGGGAATTGTATGATATTAAAACAATTTACTTAATAAAACAGAAATGAAGAAGTAAAAATCATCACAAGTTGCTGGCCTCTTAATTTGTCTACATCTTATATGTTCAAAAATTCAATTTCGAAATTACATGTATGAAAATAGGGTTGCGGAAGGAAGAGTTAACCCTTTGTTCTTCAATATTGTGTCAGACTCGTGGACAAAAATCTCAAATAGAATATACCGCTCACGAATATCAATTCTACCAAGTCCAAATTAAACATGATTTACCTATCATTTATTGTACAGCTTCTAAATAAACGAAGACATAGAATAACCATACAATTCTCCTCTGTTCACAATGAATCAAACAATAAAACACCTCTATTGACCACAATCAAGAAAGAAATCACAAAATCGTCTCAAACTCTTGAACAAAGATCTCAAATATAGTATACCGCACATAAATATCCTTCAACCCTCCAAGTCCAAATTAAACAATAGCTACCTATTACCAATCGTAACATTTCTGACTAACGCCCAATAAAACGCCTCTATTGATCGCAATGGAAAAAGAAACCATAAACCGAAGAATTAACGAAATTATGCCGCGGAACTGGTCGCGCAACAATATAAATATAATTTTGTAAGCCGAGCGCGGGGGTTGGAACACGGCGGCCGTGGCGGAGGGTGAGAGGGGCGTCGGAGGGGGTGACGAGACGCGTGCGAGCTGGGACGCGGGCGCGGTCGCGTGTGTAATTTGGCGACGACAAGTTATCGATAGCCCTTCAAGCGACAACGCTTAAGCCCCGAGCGAGGCTCATTGTGCCCCTGTGACGGGTCGCGGACAAACAGCGTATATTTCAAAGGCGGCCGCGGTGCCGGCCTCGAGGGGACTCTGACTCTCGACGAGGGGTTTTCTGTCACACGCACTGATCCACGCTTGTCTATGGAATCGACCCCGATTAATTGATATTCGGCGGTTATTGCCGAACGACGATGGAACACACTGTGCGAACAGGTGCGACGGAGAACGACGCCGCGCCGCGGAACTCGGCCTCGATCGGTGTACTCGGGACAGCGATCGACAACGATCGACGACGGCTGTCCGAAGAAAGTCGCGTGGAAAACGTGCATTGCTAGTGTTACACTCTACCCTATTAACCCTTTGCGAATGTTACGTTCGATGTACTCGCCCCGAACCGTAAACCAATCGACAGCGAAGCGAGAAGATAGTCCCGTAACCAGCAGGTGCGCGGCACTCCGAAATCTTGCTAATTCTAATGATGGTCATCATAAAATACTTGGACGCCACGTGTGACGCAGCGACGAGCTGTCACCGTGAAGAATCCGGAACCAGAAAGACCAAGCAAATAGTTATAAACCACGACGATAATGAGACGAACCTAGACTTTTGACGATTTCCCACTTCAAGACGCGAAATAGACACACTCTCGACCAATGACGAAACACAACTTTCCTCCGCCCAAAAATGCAACTGGTCAACCCCGAAAAACACAAGTTTACGTGAAACATAACCCTACGAGGAGAGAACGCTACGAAACCTCGCGAACGACAACTCTGCAACCGCGCTATTTTCACAAACGTTGCGAAACCTCGGGATCCGTGTAGTTATAATGAAGTATTACTTTTACACCAACAATTTGTGTGTCATTCTCCGATCGAGACAAGAACCCAATCGTTTACACGGAAATCCCTCCGTGTGTTACAACATAACACTTTCTATGTCTAGATTTAGTATAAACCATACAAATTGCTAACAAGAAAAACGTTAACTGCCACGGTGGTCACCGATAACCGGAGCTTCCAAATTACTTGAAAATAATAATAGTTCGTAAGATAACTGGGGTCGAATGAAAATGTTGTACGCGGGAGACAGCGAATAAAGAGGAGGAAAACGGATTCCCCCAAAAACAACTGCATTCTTGTTACAGTCCTCGCACGGAGCAAAAAAGAATATATAAAATATAAGATATAAAATATAAAATATAAAATATAAAATATAAAATATAGAAAATAAACTAGAACGCTACATTTTGCACTCGGAAACCTTTTACTAGAAACATTCGACACTTTCCGATGAGACATGGACGACACTGTTTGAAACGAACCAATGAGAAAGCATACGTAAATTAGTCGTTTGAACCGCAAGCGACAAGATGGCGGTTCTCCGTTACACTGCCTAAAAGTACGTCTATCGGTCCGTAGAATCAGATGCAGCTTATTCATTTGCTTCCCTTCTAATTGTTCATTCTTATGTTTGTTATTATCCGCTTAAAATTGGAACAATGTAACGATTGCGCTATTTAAAATTTGTTTTTGTAAAAATAGAAAAGCATTATTCAGTTTCTGAATTGAAACGGAATTGAAGCGCGGTCGCGCCTCTTAGTATTTTTCGAGCGGGTTTTCGCGAAAACCAGTGGGACTCAAATGGTTAAGAAACAAAGCTATTTTATATAAATGTTTCACGTATTGATGCATTATGTAAGAGTTAATATTATATATAACACTTTGTGATTTTGTTATACCAAATGAAATGACTGAGAGTCTCCTCTCGAGTGCAAGGGGTTAAAATATATGAAACTTAACACTAAATTTACTGACATTTACTGTAGTTTGTTCTATTGTTCTTAGAAACATTGTTATCCGTTCATTTAAATCTTAGAAATTGGAGGTTTATGACTTAGGACTTAGATGTAGGCAAGATTCTCCAAAATAAATTTAACAAGAAATCGTACATAAATTAGGTAACAAAGCTATTTTGTTTCAGTATTTTACATATTGATGCAGTATTATCTATTTAAAATATATTACATGACAATATCATATCTGAGTTCTTCTATGTACAGTGATATAAGTTAATCTGAAAATTGCCATCTGCATAATTCAGTTTTCTGAAAATTGGCAACGTGTTAATCTAATATCTAACCGATAATATCGGTTTTGAATAATCGAGACCGAAGCTAATATAGCTCAGAACCGACGTACCTATGTTATTAAACAGTTATGACTCTATTCCGGTTCTCCATAACTATTTTAAGAACCAGAACTGATATCGTAACTATTTTCAACCTCTGAGTTCAACCCCTTGTGCTAAATTTACATTCAACTTCAACCCAAGCAAACCATTTCCTATTTACCGTATCAAAATCCTCCATAAAACATACGCTCTAAGATCAGCAATTTTCACACTCTATATCTACTTCCATAACATCCCTCCATCAATAATAAAAGAAATAAATCAAAAAATCATTCTCAAATATTATTTCTTATAAAACAAATGAATCAAAGAACCATTCTCGAATACTATTTCAACCAACATCGACTTAACCACTCTACTCAAATTTCCAGTTTCCCTACTTCCGGTATCGGTTTCTAACGAGCGTTCACCAATCATGTCACCCCATATCCCTTCAAATCTACAGTAAATTCGATGGTTCCAGACAATAGTTGTAAGGTATAGAGTTAGACATACACATATGGCGGTTATATTTTCTTTAGACTATGGAGCAATGGCGGCTAATAGCTGAAATTAATGATGTTGCTGCTCCAGAAAATTTTTAATCTTTATTTTAAGAAGTTTGTATCTTTCTCATAAATTGGGGGATGGCTACTGACGTTAACCCCTTGCCGTATAATAACGAGTGAAACTCGTGGTAAAGATTTTTAGGACAATTTGTTGAAAGTTATTTGTGTTATTTATTATGTTATTTATTATACATAGGTACAAGTGACAAATGACTTTGCTACTCTCAATGGTTTTATCTTCAGAATAAACTTTCGTTTGCAATGAATAGGAAATTTATTTGTTCACTCGCGAATTATTGATAGTAAAATTTGTTAGACGAACTTAGTCTTGAAGAAAATTATACTTATCACGGTGATTTATTTCATTTTGCACAGCAAAGTGGCTAATAAAATTATTTAATTAACTTCAACTTTTCTACGCTCACACGTGAAAGTTCAACGTCATTGTAATTTCAAAATTACAAAGTATACTCGTTTCAATACAATTATTAACACTAGAACTACCGAACAGTCAAATTTATTTTCGTTATTTTACTATAAGAATTATAAGAATGCATTTACTGAGATTTCAGTCGGATCATCTTGTATGTTACTAAATCAAGTTTCATAATTTCTTCGAGTAGCATTTGTATCTTTTCAATAGTTATGAACAAAAAAATCAAAAATGGGTCATTTTGACCCATGTAGTTCTAGTGTTAAAACTATCGAATACATTGTCCATTTATATTCACAGGTTCATGTTTGTTAATTTTATACTACATACATTTGTTTATAGTCATGAACAAAAATTCGACCTATAGAAGGTTAAGCTTAAAACTAGATTTACGAAACGAGTCAATTCGACTCACATTGAATTTTACAAACATTTTTTGTCAATGTTAATTTTGATTCATGCAGTTACGTAAATACATACCCTAATTGACTTTTAAACCTCTCCGTTTCCAAAATCTATATGAACGAATATCAATTTTTATAATAATAGGACAATATGAACGAATATCAATTTTTACAATAAGGATAGAACAAACTATATATTAAATATCCATAAATCTACTATTAAGAATTATATATTATAAAAATATAAAGAAAAAATTCAAGAAAAAAGGACTAATAAAATCTTATCAATAAAATCAAGTATAAATTGGTGCTGCAGGTCCACAGTGTCTGCGGGCCGCCACTGTTACGCAGATCCAAAATTTTTTCCAGTTACAATGGTAACACTTACCGAAGAACACGTTCCGCGGGAATTAAACAAGACCGGCGATGTTACGGCTTGGCAAGACACCGCGGCACTGACCGCGTACCCCTTCGGTCCACACGGCTCCCTCGACGTGAACCCGGCACAGGGTCAAAGGTACCTCGAAACTCGAGTTCGTCAG